TTCTATCACACAACAAGCCCAATACATTCCTCCACTTCATCAATCCAACTTAAATTCTACTAATAATATCCCTATCTATTTCACCATCACTCTGAACAATAGACCCAAGACATCTAAAACATTTATTCTTATTAATGACTTGATCACTCCAAGTCACAAACCCCCAACTAGATCTATTACTACTAAAATGCATTTAGAAAGATAAATCAAAATAATTTAACTAAGAAATTCTTTGGAGGCTATGGCTTTGTTTGGGACGACTTTCTTATTGCTTTAATAAGTTCTACGAAAGACAACTCAAACGAAACCTAAGTATCCATTACCATAAACATCAGTCTCAAAAATCATACCTCAAAAGATGTAAAGATCTTAAAAATATAATGTCTTGCAACTGAACCAAATTGCAAAACAAAGATATCAAACATTCATTTGGAAACTGAAGGATGGATAAGACAATAGCACTTTGAAGAAGCAAATCTAACCGGACATTGGTATCTGTGGTGTGTCCTGCTGGCTTGCATAAAGGGTTAAGCAATCCACGGATGAACGTTTTAATAGTCCGTTCATAAGTACAGCTAAAGATCAAAAAGATCCTTCTCACAAAAATTTTCTGATTCATAAACTGGAATATTTGTACTCAATGCTTGACTGTAAAAGGTGGTTAAGAGAGTAGGGATATTACGATTTGGCTATACGTGCAATGAAGCGTGGGAACAAATAAGGTCCTGCTGGAAATGACAAACCAAGAAGATCGAGGCATAACAAAGATTTTAAGGTTGAGATAAAACCACGGCTTGGCATTTTTTTCTTATTTATTTCCAGGTTTCTCTAGTGGAGGATATGGCGGATGATGGTAAAATTAGTAAAGGGAAGGAGGATAATGACATGGAGGATGGTTGTGGCCATGGTGAGCCTTGAGCCACCATGACCATGGAAGCTTGAAGATGCCATCCACTACTAAAGGTGGAAGAAGGATGATAGGAAGTACTTGAGTTCGCAAGTAATCCTAAGTGAAATACTTGAGTTTGCAAGAAATCCTAACAATAATTGGTGATGAATAGTGGGAAATAACTGCTGTTTACAACTGTAGAACAACAATTTACAGCAGTTTTCTAGGGAAAACGAACGGAGAGAAACAACGAAGAAATCCACTAGTAGATGTAAGAAAAAAGCAAACGATACAAGTTTCTTCAATTCGAGAAGAATAAACAGCTCTCTAAATTTCTAGCCAAGCCTAGAGCCCAAATGAACAAACCTTAGATCTCAAATTTGATTTCAAACACAAGATAACCCCCAAACCCTAACAAGATAGACTAATTAAAGCAAAAGAAAAATTAATTAATCCCTAAAGAACCCCTCATTCAAAATTTTCCTCCCAAACCCTGTTTAATTTAGGCCATGGGTCCCACCAATGCTGTCGCCGCCCCCTCTCTTATCCGCCTCCCCCTTGGGACCGGCAGGCATAGACTTGAACCGGTCCAGATTAGACCAGTTCAAGTCTAATAAAGGACCATCCGTTATCTCTTGGTAGAAGAAGGATTTTAGGATACCTGTAAAAAAAAAAAAAAAAACCATAAGATTTCTCATCAAAGAAGTCAAACACTTAAGCCATGGAAGTGATCACCAAACCTCCAAAATGTATAACACAATCCAAACCTTCCTTTTTCATTTAATTTCTTCCATATTTATATGTATATGGATGAACAAAACGACAAAGAAGTACAACATTAAATTATAATTATATATTTAAATATAAACCAAAGAGAAGAGACAGCTTCAAGTGGTGGAGGTGGGTTTGCAGCCGCAATTCCCTTAATCTGAGGGCTATAAATGAACCGAGCATTCGACAAATTACTCGTTAACAATCTTGAACAATTTTTTAAATACTCGACTATTAAATAAAAAAAATATGAACATCTATGTGTTCTTCTCGTTTATATTCATAAATAATATCAATTAAAGCTCGTGAATAAGCTCGATAAGAAGCTCGTTAAGATGCTTCATCAAATAATTTTTTTGTATGTTTTCATATAATTTTTAGTTTTATTATAACAAATTATTCTTATTATATAAAATTTTTATTATATTTGTTATGTTATATTATTTCATTATAATGAATTTGTTCATAAACAAAAGTTATTTATTCATATTTGTAATATTTTTTTCATAAAGTATTCATGAATAAACTTGTTTATAAGAAAAATTGTTTTATGAGCTTATTTGTTCGTGAAATGTGTTCATTTGGTAGATCGAAATCACTCATTATATATGTTCGCGTACAGGTCTAGGAGATTGTTTATTAGTAGGCTTGATAAGACTTATTTGTTTAAAGCTCGATAAATATGAACGAACTGAACATGAACCAAACATAATCAAAACATGAACATCTATTCTTTTAAATGAACTAAGCTTGAACACAAATAAAAAAGCTCGTATCGAGCTTGAACCAAGCTTGAACAAGCTAATAATAAACAAGCTCAAATATGAACAAGTACATATTAGGCTCGGCTCGGTTCATTTTTAGCCCGAGCTGTGCTTTTACGCTCAATACGTGGTTTTACATGATTTCAGCTAAAGATAAAAAGTGTACAGTTTGAGGCTAGGTAGTGATGTTAGTGTGATTTTATTTCAATTTTGTTGGTTTATGTATTCTTTTATAGCTAGTGTGATTATTATACATATATTTTTGAGACTATGATATATAATGTAAATATTGATTATAAAAATGAAATAATGTTTTCTATAAATTTTTTATTTCATGTAATGCAATTATTCAGCTTTAGATGACAAAAATTTATTGGGTTGTCAATGAATGAATATTTGTTATTGTTGGGATTCTTGGAGTTCATGGATGTAAGAGGGGGGCGAGGGAGGAGAGGGATAGAGGGCACAAGTCTAAGAGAAAAATAGAACTTAATTAGGATTATTTTTTGGCTTTACCTAGCTTTATTATAGCCTCTCTACATATAGAGGAATGAGACTACCATGATAACATAACATAAACCTAAGAAACAACTTAACATACAACTAGATCAAATCATAACAATCTCCACAATGGTCCTGATTTACCAAAAAAATGAAAAAAAGAAGAAAATAGATCTTGAACGCTTCCTTATCTGAACTGAGAGCCAACGCTCCACATGCTTACGTCAAGAATAGTGTTCAACACCACTTATTCAACTTTCATGAAATATACATCTAAGAAACAGTCTGCTTGCTTGCACTTGTGCAGCCCTTGGACTCTGATATGTCAGTCTAGCCCGCGGTTCCAACCTGAGGCTCCACCCGCTTTCGATCATGGCCCCAAAGCACGTAGAGCGGCCTGCGTACCATGATCAACATCTGCCCACACCCTGTGCAACACCTGCTCGTGCCCTGCACGCCTCTCGCAATTTGCACGTCCGACAAACAGGCCTGATCCAGTTTCACCCCTCCTCACTGCACACTCATGCGTGCTCTAACCAACATCCCATATCACCTTTCCATAGGACACCTCATGTCTTCTCTCTCTCACCCCCTCCAACAATTCTCTTGGAGTAGTCATCCAAGCAGAGGTTGAAGCTCTTTCATGAAACTTCCTTCTCTCAAGAGTTTTTGAATGAAGGATAAATGCATAGAACACGTTGAAAAGATAATAAAGAGAAAAATGAAAAGAAATTCTTCCATTTTAGATCCCAGGATGTGACATAAATAATCTTCAAATTTGACATGATTAAAATCAAATCCAACGACTTGATGAGATGAATCCAACGAGCCAGAGACGGACTTAATTCCAACATCATTTATTCACCTAAATACCGAAGTGATTGATGAAATTGACAAATGGTCGTTCGATGGAGTTTTCAAATTTTCTCAATAATTACAGGGCATGCCACTCCTAAAAATCTATAAATAAACCACCAATCCATACATGAAAGGGGGCCTTAGGCTAGAGATTCGATAATGATCCAAGCTTAAAGAATTCCAGAGCTCCATCGCAAGCAAAATCGTCGCTGCTGAACTTTCGTTGCCTAGTTGTCGTCGTCATACCTCTGCCTGATCACAACTGTTAGAACTCTGCCTTGTTATTGCTATGAGACTTTGGGCCTATGCTGGACCTCCTCTCAGTCGCCATCTTCAAACATTTGCCAAGATACTGCCATTGGACTTTGGGTGTCCCACATCCACTTGGTTGACACTGTTGAACCTCACTCGACTGCCTCAATCAGACTTCTGCCCTTGCCATTGCAATCGAACCTTCTCTCTCGATCAATACCATTAGACTTTTATTGCATGACTGGTGCCATAGGACCTCTGCCCAACATATGCATATAATATCTATTAATATCAATTATTTTTTATTATTCTCAACATAAAATATATATTTGTAGTAAATATTGTGATGTATAATATAAGCAATTGATCTAATATGAAACACACTCCATTCATAACCATATAAAGAATCATGTAACATGAAAAAGATAAATTATTATATGATATTTATGAACATGAATCATAAATGCATCGTGTCTAAAAGGGTTGAACTCTATTCCACCATACAAAATAAATTAATTCAATTTCTTAATATATAGACACGAAACATTCCACCATACCATAATAACTTTAATACTATTAATTGACAAATGCCTACATTAAAAAGATGAGTCGTTCACAGGTAATAATTTATCGTGTCGTGTCGTGTCTGTGAGTTGTTGATCCGAACTAAATTCTGTATAAAAAATCCTTCCTAGCAATAAAAATAAAAAATATATTCCCATTAAATTATTAATGAGATAACAGTTCCATTTATATTCAGGTCAAGGCACTGAACTCTCTTTCTCTCTGCTTTTCCCACCTTAACGTGCTTCCGACCTTCCTTCCCGCTACAATCGCGGCCAAACGCCAAATTCATCCGTAACCCCCGAAGCCTCTCCTCCCCATTCGCCATCCTACCACATCCCATCTCCATGTCTTGTTCCCCTTTCTCTCTCTCCTCCCTCTAACCCGTCGCCGCCCCCAGCATGGCCGGAGGAGAGAAACATGGGCGGTGGCCCATTTTCTCCCTCCTCCTCCTCGCCCTCCTTCGCCTTCCTCTTCTCCTCTCCTCCACCACCGCTAAAAATCCCACCTTTACCCCTTCCGACATTTACCTCCTCGACTGCGGTGCCCCTAAAAGCGTCCAACTTTCCGACGGTCGCACCTTCCGCTCCGAACCCCAATCATCCTCTTTCCTGTCGACCGACGAAGACATCCGCCTCTCCTCCACCTCTCCTTTACCTTCCCTCTCCCCTCTCTACCAAACCGCCCGCGTCTTCTCCTCAACCTCCACCTACTCCTTCTTCATCACGAAACTCGGGATCCATTTTATTCGCCTCCATTTCTTCCCCTTCCCTTCCTCTTCCTGCAACCTCTCCTCCGCCATCTTCACCGTCAACACCGAAGACTTCGTCCTCCTCCGCGACTTCGTCGTCCCATCCCCTGCCTCCCCTGTTCTCAAAGAGTACCTCATCAATGTCGACAATGAACGCCTTTACCTCACTTTCAAACCCAAAAAAGGCTCCTTTGCCTTCCTCAACGCCGTCGAAGTTGTGTCCGCGCCGGAAACTCTCATCCCCACCTCCGCCGCGAGCGTCAGCCCGCAGGAGCAGTTCAGCGGGATCAACAACTACGCGCTTGAAGTTATCAGTCGGATTAACGTCGGTGGGGATAAGATTTCATCGGAGAATGATACGTTGGCGAGAGAGTGGCTGCCCGATTCGTTTCTGAAGCCGCCGGACACGGTGCAGAAAGTGGCTGTGGCGCCCGAGAAGGTTAAGTATCCTGAAGACGGAACAGTGACGCCGCTTATTGCGCCGAGGAGCGTATATGCGACGGCGGATAGCATGAGGGATGCGCATGTGTCGGAGCCGATGTTCAATATTACGTGGGATATTCCGGTCGACGGCGGCGCATATTCGTACCTCGTTCGACTCCATTTCTGCGACATTATTAGCAGGACTCTTAATTCGCTTTACTTCAACGTTTTCATCAACAGAATTTTGGCGATTCCCAACCTCGATCTTTCCTCTCTCACAGGTATTGTAAACAAGGCTTATTAGCGCTTGCATTATCATTTCTCATAGCAGTCTTAATTGGACAATCCGCCATGTCTGAAACTCTCAGAAGTGTCATGAGCATTTGACCGTCTGTTGTATCTCGATCTTTTAGGTGGATTCACGCATTAGTTCATCATCCTATTAATTATCTATGCTCTTCACATCTGAGAATACTTCAAATCTAATATTATGTATGAAAATATATAAAGATTTTATCAGAGAAATGAATCAAAATTTGAAAGTGAGAAGATGGGAGAGAAAGTGTTTCAATTCATTCGAAGAAAACCGATTGAACTATTTTAGAGAAGAGATGGGTGAGTGGACTGGACTAAGTAATAGAGAGACAATTCAAAGTAATATAGAGATATTTTAAGGAGATTTCTTAGAGGATTTTTGTGTGAGACTTAGATATGAGAGAATTTCTACCAAATGTTTTATATAGAAAGACTATTGATTATATGATGTTATACTATGATATTTTGTTATTTAAAAATTTTGGGTAAGTGCTATGGAGAAGTAAAAGCAATGAAGAATAAAGAATATCATGAAATTTTTTTGAAAAAAATAAATAAATAAATAAGTCATATCACATTAAGAAATTCACTATAAAAATTAGGAGAAATTATACAGATTCCTATTATATCAAAGGATGCAATCCCTCGAAATAAATTTATATGAACAAGAAAGAAAAATTGCTTAACCCCACTCTCAATGTTGTACTTGTAGCACTGTAACATTGAACTTTAGTGATGGACATTGTGTGCTTTGTCTCCGAGGGGTTCTACATTAACTTGGCATTGAATTTTATAATTGCCACCAGTGCAATATCGATGAGGTTTTTTTTTAGTAGATTTCATCATTGATGTTGAGCAAAAGGACATGCTCCCCCCCCCCCCCCCCCCGCCAACACACACACAAGTGAGCATTTCTTGTTGAGCTTGACCGATGGCCGAATTATGATCTGAATTAACAATACAACTCGATTGATTGACACAATTAAATTTCACACAAAACCAACACACTTGGATGAAGAAAAAACTTAATATTGAGGGCTAAGTTAGAATTGATATGTACATGATTTGATGAGATTCATCTCAAAACAACTTAATATTTGATTAGTTTTATATTATAGGAATTTCAACTTGCTTCACAGTCAATGATACTCTAGGTGTTTCCATATAATTTCATATTAGTTACGGGCTGGAATATTCACGTCGCTAGAGATATCAATAGCTTAACATCTTAGCTTGAAACGAAGATCCAACACACAAACAGATAAGAGAGAAGGTGTAGTATCTATAAGAGATACATGAGTTGTTATGTGGAAAACCTCTAAAAAGGGGGGAAAAATCATAAGATTTAAAAGAATTTACTAGTGTTTGCGATTGATTATAAGTGATGCTCTTTCTCGTGGGAAGGCGTTGGCTCAATGTAACATATATACACCACATAGAGCACAATACATAATTGGAGTTGGAAGAATTCAGTAACATGAGAGTTATTCTCATGAGAATGTTGGCCAGTTCAATTGGTAGATAAGATCGTAGTCGGGCGACGATGGCCGAATGTACCTTAGTCGACGAGGTGATGATGGCCGAAGGGATCCTAGTCGATGGGCAACGAAGGTCAAAAGAACTGTAGTCAGAAGATGGTTGTCGGAGGAACCGTGGTCGGCGTGCCACAGAGGTCAGAGCCTCAGAGGGACTGTAGTTGGCGGGTGATGGAGGTTAAACAGATTGTAGTCAGATGATGGTGGTACGAGGGACTGTAGTCGGCGGGTGACGGTGGTCAGAGGGATCTTAGTCGACGAGCGAAGGTGGTCGGAGGGACCTTAGTCGGGTGGTAGTGGTCGGAGGGAGACTGACAGAGATGGCCGGACAGAGGTCGGACAATGGTGGTTGGGTGGAGCTTCAATAGTGGTGACCGAGTGGCGAGGGTTCGCATGCAGTGGTATCGAGGTGGAGCTCCGGGATTTTGAAGCCTTACAACTATCTAGCCCAAGATCCAAACCCCCTTTCAAAAGACCCCCTCCATGCGGGAAGTATAGATCTATTTATAGATTTTTTGGAGTGGTATGATCAATAAATATGAAGAAGATACAAGGTAAAAACGAAGTGGTTCATCGGATGACTCATATAAATTCCTTTTATCATAGAGCTTTCATCATGCATTTAAGCGCCATAATGACATTGGAATTAATCTATCTTGGGCTCGTTAAATTAGTCTCGTCGAGCTGGTCAATTATACTATAAGCATGCTATATTTGAATATAATTTGATCATCCAATTAATGATATGAACCTTTCAAATATGTTTTGGCCGCATGATTCGGACTGATTTGGGATTAGATTGGACCGATTTAGGTGTTGTTATGTTTTTCTCGTTGAGTCGCTCAATTTGACTATAAGTTTATTGAAATTGGGATTTAGATGATCTCTAATTTAATTTTAAAAGTTTCTAATTTGGATGTGCTCAATCAAGACAAATTTTTTATGACTGTCAACACCGAAAACATAATTTATTGTTTTTCCAACCCTTAGCTTAGGTTTAACAATTACAGCATATGGAAGTGTTAAAATATAAATTTATTTGACAAATTAAACATTTCCAGTCTATATCCCAACACGAACAAAGACTTCGAGAACGAAATTGAGTTCGCTCAACGTTTCAATCTCACAGGTGGGAACCTCTCCATGGCTTACTATAAAGACTTCGTCGTCGCTGGAACCACTCTCATCTCCGGCAACATCTCCATCCAAATCAGCCCACCAGTGATGAACGACCCCGGTCTCCCCAACGCCATTCTCAACGGCATTGAAGTCATGAAGATGAGCAACACCGCAGGAAGCCTCGACGGTCTGTATTCCGTCGACGGCTCCTACCACAGCAATGAACCCGCTACCACGGCAAAGATAAAGGTTCTGGTAACCGTCTTTGGTTTGGCCATTTTTCTAATGGCATTGGCGGCGATTATGTTTCTCCGGCGTCGCCGGCGGCCAGACGATTGGGACAAAAAACATAGCTTTTTTTCTTGGTTGTTGCCTCTTCACGGCAGCCATTCAGGCCGGCCGGGGTTTATTAGTAAGTGGAATGGGAAGGGGAGCACCTCTTCTTCAAAGAATGGAAAGGGGTTTGGGTCGCATAAGAGCAAGAGCGGGTATAAGAGTTATCTTGCATCAGGAGGGCTTGGCCTTGGGCGGTAATTTTCAAATTTCAAATTTCAAAATTTTTTCAAAATATTTATCACCATACAGCTTTATATATAATCCACACAACAGATTCTTCACCTTCGGTGAGCTCCAGCAAGCCACCTCCAACTTCGACGAGAAGAACGTGATCGGCGTCGGGGGATTCGGCAAAGTCTACCTCGGCTTGCTCGACGACGGAACGAAGCTGGCCGTGAAGCGAGGCAATCCTTCGTCCGACCAAGGGATAAACGAGTTCCATACAGAGATCGAGATGCTGTCAAAGCTCCGGCACCGGCACCTCGTCTCTCTGATCGGCTGCTGCGACGAGAACAACGAGATGATTCTCGTGTACGAGTACATGTCCAACGGGCCCCTTCGCGACCACCTCTACCCTTCTTCTCCTTCGTTCACACCTCTGTCATGGAAGCAGCGCCTCGAGATCTGTATCGGCGCCGCCCGCGGCCTTCATTACCTCCACACCGGCGCTGCCCAGGTAAGCTAGCCAGATCAATTTCCCTTATTTTCTATTCAATTTTATTTTCTAATATTTATAATTATTATTTTTCAAAAAAAAAAAATCTTTATAATTATTTGTACAATATCTCAATTTTAAATGGAATAAATAAATATCATTAATATTGATTTATTTAAAATAATATATATGGCGTATATGTAAATTCCTCAAAAAAATTTATATGCATATCATTGAATTTTTATATATTTATATATTTAATAGCTAATTTTTTATATCCATTTATAATTATTATATAAAAATTAGAATCATAAGGAGATGAATTAAAAAATAAGGTGATTTGTTATGTTTTTATTTTAATAATAAATTAATCAAAATAATGTAAAAAATATTGGGAGCATGACCGCTTGGGCCCACTAATTCCCCCATATTAATATAATCCCATCGCAACAAATTAGTAACATTAATTAGATCATAAAAAATTGTCTTGATAAAGCAAGAAACTTGAGGTATATCTTAACTTCCAAAATTAAATTTGGGACTATCCAAATTATGATTTGAACAAATTTATAGTCAAAGTGAACATCTCAAGAAGACGATCACTCGACCGCCGACAGCTGGCTAACCTATGCTAGGTCGCCGCTAGACCATCGCCCGGATGTGAGACTGCTGTCGGACCACTGCCTTGTCTCTGATCGCCGTTGGACCATCGCCTGATTGTTGACTTTCGCTGAATCCCCTCTGGAGCTTCGTCGGGCCACCAATTGTTGTCGGACTATCTTAGCTCGACTGCTAACCTCCGTCCGGCTGCAACCTCTGCTAGACCTTCTCCCAGCCGTTGTGTTCAAATTTTTGACCTCTTTTGTTTGACCACGATCGTTACAAACTCCCGAGTACCAATATGAAGTGCGACAAATTTTCTAAACTATTGTAATTTCATCCCTTCCAAGCTAGGGGACGAGTCGATCTTTGTAACCTATATCTTTTCACCAGGGTAATGCAGGTAGTTTTTCCCTATTTTGGGGTAAAAAAAATTGTATTTCTTTGCCCTGTCAACTATCATTCTTATGCATCGCTAGGACAATAAATTCTCACTCTACTGCCCTGAATATATACTAGCCCTCAACAACAAGTTTAAAATTATTAAATTTACTTGTTATCAATATAATATGAAATTTTTATATGTAAAATTAATCTCATAATAAATCAATAATTATTTAACATATTTTGATATATTAAAAATAACACCCCTGCTCTCACAGAGCATCATCCACCGGGACGTGAAGAGCACCAACATACTCCTGGACGAAAACCTCGTCGCCAAAATGTCAGATTTCGGTCTCTCCAAAGCCGGCCCTTCTTCCCTTGATCAAACGCACGTCAGCACCGCCGTCAAAGGCAGCTTCGGTTACCTCGACCCAGAGTATTTCCGGCGGCAGCAACTGACCGATAAATCGGATGTCTATTCATTCGGGGTGGTGATGTTAGAGGTTCTCTGCGCGAGACCGGCGATCAATCCGGCGTTGCCGAGAGATCAGGTCAACTTAGCTGAATGGGCGATGCAGTGGCATCGAAAGGGAAAGGTTCAGATGATCATTGACCCGCATTTGGTTGCAGGTGTCGGGCCGCCGTCGCTGAACAAGTTTGTTGAGGCGGCCGAGAAGTGCTTGGCGGATTCCGGCGTTCACCGGCCGACGATGGGGGATGTGCTGTGGAACCTCGAGTACGCGCTGCAGCTGCAGGTAAGTCCGTGTTATGAGTTTTCTTATGATTTGGTGATAATTTTGACAATCAAAATTTAATGATAATTTCAATCAAAATTTAACGACAGAATTTAAAACATGCTAATTTTAATGATTTATGTTTTTTTTTTTTGGGGAAAATGAGGGCAAAGCCCATAAATTTATGTTCAGTATACGGAGTTGAACATAGAAATTATTATAATATATAAAATGTAACACAACCTTACTTTCAGGAAGCATGGATAGGGCAGTCGTACGAGGACGACGACCCATCTGACATCGGCAACGCCGGCGAAATCCATGTAGAGCACCTCGACAGCTTGCAAAGAAAGGAAATTCCGTTCGACGTTGAAGTTGTCTCCGTCGATTTCTCCACCCCGGCGGAGCCGTCGCCTCTGCTCCACGGGAGGTGAGCAAAAGATCACCAAGAAGAAATTGTGATGGAAAAAGGTGACGCCTTGGATTTGCATAAGCCTTCCACAGTGTAAAAGATATGGTTTTTTTATGATGTGAAGTGAAAGCTGTTTACATTTTATTTTTTGATAATTTGATATCTACAACGATTTTGAATGTATACTGTTGTAATAATACGCTGAAGGATTTTAGGAACCATTTTTTAAATTAAAAAAATAGTTTTTAATTCATAAACGTCGCACCTTTTTAACATTGTTGCGTCCCGGAGTATTCGCAACGGTAGAGAAATATAAAGTTTAGAGTCTTAGCATTGTACAAAGATCCAACACACAATCAGATAAGAGAGAGGGTGTAGCATTTATAAGAGACACCAGAGGATTTACGTGGAAACTCCTGAAAATGGGAAAAAACCTCAGGACCTGGCCCAATTTAAATGAATCCACTAGTATTTGAAGTCGATTACAAATGAGGCCCTTCTTAGAGAGAAGGCCTTGGCTTGATGTCACAAATGTACATCATATAAAGCACATTATATAGTGCGAGATACAATAATGAACATATACATGTTTGCTTGGTCGGCAGGACCATAGTTGTTAAGATAGAAGTCGGAAAGACCATAGTAGGAAGGAGACCAAGGTCATGAAAGACTGTTATTTGGTGATGGACGTCGGAAGGACCATAGTCTGTATGAGACAGGGGCTCGAAAGATTGTGGTAGAAGGGCAGTATTTCGGGAGAACTCTGGGCGTCAAGTGGTGGCCTGGAAGAAGTCTGGGCATCACGTGGTGGCCTTAGAGAAGTTTGAGTCTCAGATGGTGGTTTAGTAGAAGTCCGAGCCTCAGGTGGTGGTCCGGCAGAAGTCCGGGCCTTAGGTGGTAGTTCAGCAGAAGTCCGGGCATTAAGTGATGGTCCGACAGAAGTTCAGGCTTCAGGTGATGGTACAGCATAAGTCCGGATGTCAGGTGGTCTGGCAGAAGTCTGGTCGTCAGGTGGTGGTCTGGCAGAAATTTGAGCCTCAAGTGTTGGTCTAACGGAGGTGAGGGCCTCCAGTGGTGGTCCAATGGAGCTCATGCCTCAGGTGGTGGTCCGGTAGAAGTCCATGCCTCAAGTGTTGTTCCGACAGAAGTTCAATCGTCAGGTGGTGGTTCAGTAGAAATCTGGGCCTCAAGTGTTGGTCCGGCGGAGGTGAGGGCCTCAAGTGGTGGTCCGGCGGAGCAACGACGTCAGGTGGTGCTCCGGCGAAGGCGAGGGCCACAAGTGGTGGTCTGGCGGAGGCGAGGGTCTCAAGGTGGTCTGATGAAGGCGAGGGCCTCAAGTGGTGGGCTGGCAAAGGTGAGGGCCTCAGGTGGTGATCTGGCAGAGCAACAATATCTGGCGGTGATCCGGTGGAGCAATGACATCAGGCGGTGGTCCGACGAAACTCAGGCAGTGGTCGAGGAGGAGCTTCTTCCTTCTCTTCTTTCTTCTCTTCTCTTCTTGCTTGGAGCCTCCTCTCAAGAGAAAGGAGGGGTCTATTTATAGATTTTGGGAGTGGCATGACCCGTAAATATGTGAGAGATCAAGGGTAAATGGGGAGTGGTTGGATGGACGACTGATGTTGAATCCCTTGATCATGAACCGTTTGATGGACATTTGTATGCCTTAGTGATATTGAAATTCAGTGATCTTGGGTTCGTTGGATTCGTCTCGCCGAGCCGCTTGATTCGACTATAAGCATGTTATGTTTGGAAACTATTTGGTAATCCAATTTGTGGTTTGAACCTTCCAACAATGATTCTAACCCTTGATTTGGACCTGTTTGGGCTCAGATTGAGTCGATTTTGGTGTCGTTGGGTTCGTATTTTCGAGACGCTCAATTTAACTGTAAGTTTGCTGAAATCGGAGTTCGGATGGTTCCAATTTTAATTTCGAAAGTTTCCAACTTGATCTTGCTTCGAGATTCGTGCCCGATCAAGATGATTTTTTGATGACGTATCAAATATATTTTTAATTACTTATTGAAAGTAATGATGTTGAGATTATGAGTTCGTTTTGGACAACTTTCTTAATGCTTTCTAAGACAACGTTTTAGGCTTCATTTTGGATAATTTTTTGCTGCTTTATAAAGCAACTTTCTAATGCAAAAATTTCTTGAGTTAGAAATATTTATACTAGAATGCCGTTTTAGAATCTAGTAAGAAAGTGTCCCAAATGAATCCTTATTTAAAAATTTTCTTGAATTAGAATTTTTTTGTATAATTTTTTTTTTTTAGAAAGCAATGAGAAAGATGTCCCAAACGAAGTCTGTGTTTAGCAACATAAACTGAAGATTATGCCTTTGTTTTGGACGAATTTATTATTATTTTTGAAGTAAAATTTTTAGTGTAAAATTTTAATTTTTTTTACAAAAAAATTGCTGTAAGATGCAAAAAATTATTCTGTGCGTTCACCGAACAACATCTAGAGACGGATGAAAACATGCCACGTTATTTTTTTTGGTGGTGTATTGCTCTGTACCGGATGACGTGATGCATTCTGATTCGCCTCTGGACCGTTCTTTAACCGCACATAATAATTTCTCATAAGAAGTTATAAGAAAGTCATCCCAAACAAAGCTTTTTTTTAAAAAAAATCCCAAACAAAGCTTATATAATCTGATGATCTCATAATGTTGCATAATTATGGAGCCATGCATTTAATTAAGATTATTAGTTTAATAATTAAGTATGTGGTTAATATTTAATTAATTGATGAGCACTTTTTACTTTTGTATCTGCGATTGGTCTAAACGTTGCTATCTTATTGAATAATTAATTTATTTAATGGTTGTTTTACGATTGACATAAAAAAATAATTGGGTTAAATTTAATATTTTAATTAGTTGGCTTGCTTTTAAGCCCTCCTTTTTGATATTTTCAAAAAGATTTTTTTTTTAATAAAGAAGTTGAGATTTTAAATTATAATTATCAATTACTCTTTAATTCATTAGTAAATTACTTATATTGATGCTACTTCAAAATATTTAGAGGATTGATAAGAATGTTGATCTAATATTTGAATCTAAAAGTTTTAGACTTAAATTTAGAATAATTTGAAATTTAGAATAATTTGAACTCCAATTTCAATAAATTTATAATCAAATTAACCTCTGCTTGTAATTAATTTGAAAGTGCACAATCATCCGATGAAGCAGCTATCATTTTGAAATATGTGTTGTTTTCATCAATGTTTTGTGTTTTGCTTTGGAAAGATGCAAAACAATTGACATTTTAATTTCTTTGGAAAATTTTGATTACTGAATTTTAGTTTTGAAGTCGAACACGTCATTATGAATGATATATCACTTCGGTATGAACGATATATCACATCAGAAGGTGAAAATATCATTCTCTAATGGGTTCAGATAACAAAACTCTAAGGCTTCGTTTGGGACGGCTTTTTTATTGCTTTCTAAAACGGAGTTTCAGTACAAAATTTTTTAATTTTGTACTAAAACTCCGTTTTAGAAAGCAATAAAAAAGCCGTCCCAAACGAAACCTAAGTTTCATCCTAATTATCATAGTCAAATTCAAGAAGGGTCAAAATGATATTTGATAAAGTATTTAGCTATAATAGTCAAGATGTAATATCTTTAATTTCATAATCAAAGTCATGATAATAAATGATATATCTTCATAAGGGAAAGATATATCATTTATTATCAATCATTTGAATGTGACGATAGTGGCCGTCGTTGATTTTCTTGATTTTCCTAAAGAGAATTAATTAGATTTTTAAATGGATCTAGGGTCTTTAAATCTCTATAATTAAAGTTTACCTTCAACTCTTTCTCTAGTCTTATCAACAAGAAGAAAGTCATCAACAAAAAACATACATCAGAGTACAACCTTTTGTAAATGTCTAGTGGGAACATTCATTACTAAAGCAAAAAGAAACGGGTTTACAACTGATCCTTGTTGTAATTCAACTGAAATAGAAAAATACTTGGTCAAACTACTTTGTGTTTGAAAATAATTAACAACTCATACATACATATTCTTAATGACTTGAATATAATCATTGTTAATCTCTTTCTTATGTAGAACTCTCCATAACACTTCTCTTGAAACTTTATTATATGCTTTTTCTAAATCAATAAAAATCATATAATTAAGTGAGTAATTATAACCTATGAACCCAGCCTTTGTCATGTAGGCCACCTTACTTTGCACCACCTTTGAGAGGACTTCTTACAATATAGTCGCAGTAGAACATATACTTCTTTGAGGTCCCAACCTCCTTTTATTTCCGGCGATTATGGCCTCGTTTGGGAAGGCTTAATTAGCGTCGTTTTCGTTTCGAAATGGGGAAAATACTTTCGGTCGCTGTTTGGAAGCCTAATTTTCGCAAAACTGTGTTTTTTACACCTTCATTATCTTAACGATTTGCAAAGCTTTTTTTTTCCTTCTCTGCTAGTAAAAGACCTTATCGGAACATTCATTCTCATCTAGAAAGGAGTTCTGCTACCAAACGAGGCCTATGTCTGAACGAAAGCTTCAAAGAATATTAACATTGTGAATTGTACCCAAGTGACTTGCGTAAAACTTTTGACCAGTGAAACTACTTTGAAGACGAGGGCTGAGAAGCAAAAGAAATGAAAATTAAGTAAGAGAGACAACAGGAGAAATCATAAGCCCCCTTTGTATTAATTAGTTATTACTACTCTTTTTGGGCTCTTAGGCTTTACGATTGCTCTCTTGCTTAATAATCTCAGGATTGGTTAGGCTTTACAGGAGGCCAAAACGTCCTTCATGCATAATTACAAGATATAAATAGAGAAAGTTGAGACTATCTGAATAAGGGAGATTCACTTCCAATTATTTCCCCTCCTTCGCTGAAAGCCTGAAGTAGTGATTGTGTTCTGACCACTATGAAACTTGCAAGCAGAGCTAATATCCATCAGTCTCTGAGAGGTCTGCTTGTTGATGTGGCAAAGTGACCATCTTTTCATTGCCTACTAAAGCTTCCAATGGGTTCTTTGCTCAGAGCTAATTGTTATCTATCAGAAATGAAATTTTCAACTCTTAGGCTTAGAGTAGGACAATTTTCTTACTGCTTTCTCGTGCAACTTTCTAGCATAATTTTTTTTTGAAACAAACGAAAAAAACAGCGACAAAAAATTGTCCCAAATGGAGCC